AGGAGTAACGTAAAATTTATAGAATTAAAGGTTCAAAAGAGGAGTAAATGAATATAAGTGTCAAAGTAGGTTTAAATAAGTATATTGGTCAGTTAAATAGGTTCAAAGTATCTTCAAAAGTTTGAAAGTAGCATCAAAATTTCGACTCGGGGGGATAAAAAAAAAAAAAAAAGTGTGATACAAAAAAATTAGATTACGCCAACGGATAATTGGAGCTGGTAATTGTATATGATAGTTGACTAACAAAAAAGATTTTCGTCGTAATCTTTCATTCCGTGTGAATGATGAACAACAGTTTCACGGAAAATGTTAATTACTATATAAAATACACAATATGCAACGTGTGTATGTTTCGTGTATAAATTTGAAGATAATGTACTTGGAAATTGTAATTTTAAAGTACTTAAAATTTCTATCGGAAAGAAAATATGTCACGGAAAGTTCTTTCTAGAACTTTACAGAAGTTACTTCACACACACACACGTTACGATACTTACACTATAACGAGATTGTACAAGCGCGCAGCTGCAGCATTTATAGTACGGAGGCATTTATAGCACGCATTCTCCTAACCACGTGCGTATCGGTGCATGCAGATGCGGAGATACATATTATAAATCATGTCTCGGGATTCGCGCGAATATGGACGGTAGATTGCGATAGAGAAGATTTTGTAATGTGTTATTAACGACTCAATCATTTCTGCGAAATATCAATACCACAACAATTGTTTTCCATACGCTATACGTTACTTATGTTATTTTTTTAATTATCCTACACGAGATAAAAAAAATACTTGAAAAAAAAAACGTAAATAAAACATTCGAATAAAAAAAAGTGAATATCCGTCATATCAAGTGGCCACTAATGCAGCTGTTATGATTTAATTGGAGCACTTTACATACTAAGTGTAAAGAATAAAGAATTTGTTTATTAATTACCGCTGAGCATTTATAGATTGATTTTAATTAACTCGAGTAAATACAAAAAGCGCGTACATTTGCTCGCAGACGCGATCCCGTTTTCAACTTTTCGCTTTAACAGTTATTGTTTCGCACGTCAAATATATATCTATATATATACACACACTGATAGTTATGTCGAATATGTGTTGATAGTCCGATATTAAAATTCAATTTTTAATTTCACTACCGCGTGTCGTTTGGAAAGGCGAGCTCTGCGCTTCCGAGATATAGTTTCGTTTATATTCTAGAATTCTTTCCTTGATTAAATTTAAAACACAACGGATGTACCAGATGCACCATAATATACTAGAAAGACGATCCAGCATACGATTCTCCTCGGAATTGATGAACATACTACGAATCAGTGCAATCGACCAACTGTGAGAAGCACTCCGCGCGCCGTCTCGTCTACAGTTCGCATTTCCGTACAATTTTCAGTGAACAACATAAAAAAAAAAAAAAAAAGACAAGAAGATATAGTACTCGAGATACTCGGGAGTTTGATTTCTATCGAAACTAATTCAGTCAACAACACTCGTGTAATGTTCATTCGTCAGGTGACTCGTTAAATTTAATTGTTCAGTGCGCAACTACTACTCGCATCTGTTTTAAGCAATGCACACACGCGCGAAATGTAAGATACTTATTAATTTGTACAACATCGTATCATTGTTCGAGAGAACTGTCGGTTCACTTATAATTAATGCAGTAGCGGCCTTCTTGTTGAGCTAATTACACAGATATAAACTTGAGAGTGGCACGAGAGACGAGAAACGCTGTTAAAAGTTCGGCGGGATGTACACGTTATATGCTGAGAGAAAGTCGCGAAAACGGGAAGAAGTTTGGTACGACTTCGAGACAATTCAGAGTACGGAAATTCTGCTTATAAGAACCGCAGCAATTTGCATCGCGCCAGTAACTCCGACTTATACATTGCCGCCCGTTTTCCCCGAGATCCGGCGCTTAATAATCCAAATCCCATTAACACGTAATCAACATCATATTAAGTGGAAAATATTACAAATTTTAAAATAATTACCGGACCGGAGCATTAAGGTAATTATTTACGTATTAACGTCGATTATTTTCATGTATTATTCTCTGTTTTGTCAATAATTCTCTTGGCAAAAACGTTCGAAAAATTTTAACGTTCGAAAAACGTTTATCAACAATCAATGCGAAATTAGATTCATCGTGTATATATCAAGCGATATTGCAACAAACGATATTATATTATCAAATACATATCGCGATAAGATATGCGCAGTGAAATATACTTTACATAAAATCGATCACTTCGGCAAATAGATGAGAGAGAGTTCACGCGAACAGTCTTTAAGTAGTTTAAGTCAATCATTCATCGCGCTCGTTTGACACTCCGGGCGACTGAGAATAAACAGCTGGAATAGCGAACTCACGGATCCTGCATTAGAAAGTAGTTGAAAGCACTGTCTTATTAACATTATTGATCGCGAGACAAGAAATAAGATCTTCGTCGTCGTTGTTGTTGTTAACGAAGTTACCGCTTCATAGATCTTCTTCACCTCGGTGTATATTTGTGTAAATAAAAATATATCATCAACAACAACGTCACGCCTCTTTTTTCCGACTTCATATTGCCGTACGCGGAAAATGTGTTTATCGACGTGAAATTGTTTAACGTCGGACACGTAGGATCTAGTTTATATACACAATGAATTATTAATAATAATAATTTCTTTTTGCGCGCGACATTTTTCCATAATATTTGTAATGCAATTTGTGTGCCACACGTCGCGCAAAATGCGACAGTGGAGAAATCATTAAACAATATAACACCTCATAAATATTAAAAATAATTGCTTTTGCCAGCGCGAAAAATTTATTGTGACAAAAATGCAGAAAATATTTATCATAACTTAAATTCTTTCTAACGGAAGATGCGCGTTGGGCTCGGAAATATTTGATACAAAATATTCGAATTAAAAAAAAAAAACATTTATTAGGCTCATTTATTCGTGATTTATCACAAACGAATATTAACTTAACACAGTCTGTCTGTGTGTGTGTGATGTATATGTATGATGAATTTTTTTTTGTTTTTTGCATCTATTTCCGCGCACGCATTACCATTGTTGTGTTTTTATTCTTTGCATAAATTAAAAAAATCTCACAGCAATTCTTAAAATAGAGTTTACACAAATACATTTACAAAACAATACAAAAAAAAAAAAAACAGAAACAATGCGCACAATTCTCTCTCCACTATATGAAACAACTTGTTTCACTCGACCCACCACCGCACACCCACTTAGAAAGATTGAATTCCAAGCACTCGCAAACCAACGAGCGAAATGTTCTGGTACACTGTTTGTGAATGCTTCCTCGGCGATCCGAGTTTTGCTCGAGAGATTGGTAAGTTTACCAACGATTTATAGATCGCGATACATCGTAAAAGTAACGGTGCATATACATCGTTCTATCCTATTTTTTTATGACGGTCGTTACCGCGAATTGTATGTTTGATTTATAAAACGCGAATTTCGTATTTCTCGAATGCGACGCGAATTCGTTTTTTTTTTTCTTCTCAATCTACCTGAATTTATAATAAGCAATAATTTAGCAGTAATTAATAAACGGTATGTATGTTTGTCAGGAAATTGCGTTGAATTGTTGACAAGATTGTTACGAATAAAGCTTTTTCTCGTAATATCAACGGATGGAAATAAACCGTCCTTGTTTTGGCGTTAGTATTTACTATACTGGCAGAATGCGCTGCGTCTCTCTTAAGAACCTCAACAATATCAACTTCAAAGCACTTTCAAAAGCTCACAACTATCAGTTCCAACTAAATCTCTCTGTTTATATATCAGAGATTAGAACCTTTACATATATATATGTTATACATAACGTTTGATATTTGCATCTCCCGATCAAAACTAGTGACTGTGCAAGAAACATTCAGTCAACATGTACATTTTGAAAGTATTAAACTGCGAAAGCTTCAAGCAAAATCTTGAGAGCGCTGTATGTACGTAAGAGAATCATCACACATTTCTAACTCTCTGTTTAAATATTTTTTTTGTATGCGCGTGTCCTTTTCTCTTCTGTAAATTTTGCGAACTCGGTGAAGAAGAAACTTTTGCAATTACATTAAACTTGAATAAAACGTAGGTAGGTAGGTACGTAAAAGAGTTTGCACAAAAGAGACACGAAAGGTCGCTATGTGTCATAACTGTCACGTGCGTCTTAGTGATAGAGCGGCTGTGCCACCATAAAATTAGGGAGAAAATATCCCACTGCTATTCGCGGAATTTCCTTTGGGAAAATTAAGATCAGCTAAGTGCGCCGCATAGTAGGTGAGAAAGAGGAGATAGATGAGAAAACAAGATCTCTATAACACAGCGTATAGAGTGGCTTTTAGAAAATAACGCGATAAATGACATAACAACGTGATAACGTATCATCGCGTACGATTTGTAGACGTTATCACATTTGCTCGCATATATGTTTGTTCTCATTTGTGTTATTGTACTTATTATATAAGAAGTTTCTTTGAGAGAATTAAGATCAGCTAACCGCCGCATAGTAGGTACACGTGAGATAGAAGAGAGAGATGAGAAAACAAGATCTCTTTATGAAATAGAGTATAGAAGTGGCTTTTAGAAAATAACGCGATAAATAATATAACAATGTGATAACATATTATCGCGTACGATTTGTGGATGTTATCACATTTACTCGCGCATGTCTATTCTCTCTCACTCGTATTTTATTTTACTTTTTATATAAGAGAAGTTGTAGCGTATAAAATATTTTAACAGAACAAAGCAATATTCGCGCTATTTTCCAACGTAACATAAAGATCGTAAAATGAGATTTTTGCTCGGAGAAGAAGACTATCTTCTGTAGAACGTAACAATTAGGAAAATTTATATCGATCCGTCCGCAAGTTGGGCAAGTCGCATAAATGTTAGAGACTGCGTCGAGTTAGTCGGCGAGTTTCGCGCATCACGTTGAATTTCTCGCAGGAGAGAATGGAAATGTGACTTTTACCTTAAGATTATTTTGTAGATTTTGTATCCTGCAGTGCATGTAGACCTCGGCGCCGAGCTGCACGGTAACGTTGCTTTCTGGATCCTCGAAAAACGGCCTCGGTTCAGGCGTGCCACCTGTTTCAGTCACGAAATTCTCCACTTCGTAAACCTGCAATAAAAACAAAACAAAACAAAAGCTAAAATGCATTCGCGTCTTTTACTGTTTAACGCGCTGTGTAATCTAATGGGAAACACGCCGTGACGCTTTTAGTAGCGACGACACGGCGAGTAACCGCGTCGTTTATTGTTAATCCTAGATACACATAAATGCAAAATGCAAGAAAACGCGAAATATAAAATGTCTGAATGACAAATATAAACGCAGGTCTCGTCAAATCTCGATCGCACGCGTGTAAAGTTATCTCCAATATATTTTGCGACGTGACACAGCGTTTTTTTTTTTTTTTTTTTTTATAGCATTGTATTTAAAACTTTAAATATAACATTATAACGCTTTTTTATAGTTTATTTCAATACTTTAACAATTATCTTCCGACAGACAAATTTGCAGTAAACCTCTGATTTGACCCACTTGAATTTCCTCTCAAGTTGATGAAATATTATATTTTCGAAACTAACTGAAATAATTTCCAAAACTTTGACATTATATATGCAACTGACCTCCGTGAAAGGTGAACTAAGTTCATGCCAAAATGAACGTGGTAAGTTTTCGTATCCCGGAAACTGCTTCACACCTGTAACACAATTTAAGAGAATCTTGTTTGGAAATAATAGAGAATACGTTTTTGTTTTTACAGGTTTTCGTGTGGTGTAAAAATCATCTCAAACAAGAAGTATTTCGAAAAAAAACAAAAAACATCGCCGCTATTTTTTCTATCTCGGAATTTTATGAACACAGATTTCTCATCGGATTTCGTTCCCGTACGGACGCGACGAAATCATGCGAAATTTCGTTCGTTGCGCGAATACAGAACCAAAAACCGTAAAAAGATTGATTATTATTTCAAGCGTGCGATAAAAGATTCGCGAAATATTAGGTTTTATGTTGAAAAGAAGCAGGTAACGCGAAACGTGTTTAACATCGAAGAAGATTTTACTTTCCACCCCGATGCAATGCGACGAGAGCGAATCCCTTTACTTGTCGACACGTTGAATGGCCTTATCAGCAGGAAGCACACGCGACTATGTAACTTCCTGAGACGGCACGCGCAAATATATTCTCTTTGTGACAAGTTGCGTAACTGATAGCGGATTTCGGAATATATCTCACGCGCAAACGCAGATTAATAAATTGTAAAAAAAATGTTTTTTTTTTTTTTTTTTTTTATCTGTAAAACACACGTTGCAGCAATATATCTATTTTTGTTTGTGACAACACGCGACAAACGTAGACACGTTAAAATCTAACGTAGACTCGCAGTGGCACGTTCTCTTAATTAAACGCAAATGTAACGAAACAATTTTGTGATGTGCGAAAATTTCTATTTAACCATTATGCTACATAGCATTGTTTTTACAACATTACACTGAATAAATAATTTTGCAAAACTGCAATATTAATGTACGCGCGCGTGCACGCACGCGCGCACACACACACTAACGCACACACACACACACGGATGCGATAAAAGTAAACGTCCCGCTACGAGACGTTCCGCAAACAATGCGATAATGAACGGTTTAACAAGCGTAAATAAAAAAAAAAATAAAACTAAAAAAAAATCATACGCTTAATCGAGAATAAAAACTAAACCTGCGAGTAGTTTAATTAACTGAAAGTTAATTATGAAAAAAAAAAAAAAAAAAAATACGCGATGCGATACGGAGCGGTTGTGTCCGGGATCAAGTGATAACGTGATAACCGAGTGTACGCGCCGCGGTTGCATTTCGATGCTATTCCGCCGGAATTTCCCCGCGGTGGCTGCCGCGTCATCTCGTTCTCTATTCTCGCGCACGATCGAAGCCACCAGCAGGCGTCTTATAAGCATAGCTTTACATAGCTTGGCACCGGGTACGCTCGCGCGGGTCGAACAGAAAGAGGTAATAAAGCCAGTTTCCCAACGATGTCGTCGTTTTTTGAGACGGTATACCGAGAAACCGTGCAATCTCGTCTCTTATAAAGCCCGCCGCTGAAGAAGAGACAAGCGCAGTGTAGAAAAATAAAGAAGACACCGCCGCGCGCGATAGAGAATCCATGGAGAGACCGCACACGCGGGAGGGGATTGGTAATATCTCTCTCTCTCTCTCTCTCTCTCTCTCCTCTCTCTATCTCTCTCTCTCTCTCTCTC